CCTGACCTAGGGTGAATTTTAAATAGGGATAATTTTTAATGATTTTAAATAGTCACAGCCACTAATATTTGGATTTTAATTGGTTTTTAGAAGGGGTAATTCTGTATATTGTTTTAACATGCTGTGAGCCGCCCTGAGTCCCATGGGGAGAAGGGCGGCATATAAATTTTGTAAAATAAATAAAATAAAATAAATAAATATGAACCTAGACAACACACTGTTTACTAAGCACTAAAGATTGTTATTGTAAAAAATCAATAGAATATATTAAAAAAAAATCTAATGACTAACTTCCATTGATGGGGATGCCCTGACTATGACTAAATGGGCTATGTGATAGAATGTATTCTGGATTCCCATGAGAGAGAGGCTGCATTTCAGGGGGTAAAGAAACAACAAAGCTTAGATAGTTTGGTCAGAAGAAGAGAATTAAGAAGGTTCTTCCCTAGCCATTCTCAGAGTATTATCTATAGTAATTCAAATAATTGCCTTAGTTTGGTAAAATTTCTGTCTATAGGTGAGGAACATAAAGGAAACTGCTCAGAAGTAATTCTATGTGTCTTCCTTGGTTCATGGGGCCTCACAGGCTATACTCATTAAGGTTAAGCCAAGCTGACTTTTATCCTTTTATGGAGTAGCTCAACTTCTATTGAGAGAGGTTGCATTTGGCAACGGAAAGTAAATGTATGTGATTGAAAAGCTGACAAAGACATACGGTAAGTCTTTCCCAAGGATTATGCTAATATCTATGCTACTTAGGTTCAGTATGTTACATAAGTTAATTATCAATATTTTGAACCATTGAAAATTACACCTCAGGATTAATTATTTATCTAATTAATTACTTTAATGGCTACCTTATGGATTAATTGTTAAGTATTTTCAGGGCAGCTTACAAAATTTAATAATAATAATAATAAAGTTGGAAGGGACCTTGGAGGTCATCTAGTCCAGGGCTTTTCAACCAGTGGTACGGGTACCACCTGTGGTACATTGGCACCTGGCAGGTGGTACGCAACCATCCTAGAAAAGTACCGATGGCAGCATTGCATAAGCCTGAGCGAGAGATGGCTGGAGCTGCAGGGCTGTGAGGGCTCAGCGGAAGCACCAGGATCAGCGCCAGGCTCCAGCTGGAACTCGGCGCTGATCCTGGTGCTTCTGCTGAGCCCAGAAGCGCCGATCAGCTGGAATGTTGCGGCATCTTCAGGGTCTTGTGATTTACATTCAGATGCTTGGCAACTGATTCATATTTATGACGGTCACAGTGTCCCAGGATCATGTGAAGTGACCAAAACCTGCTGCAACTACCCAGCAGACGGGGGGAATAAAAACTAAACACTCTCCCATCCCACTGCCAATCCTCAACAGAAAGGCTCACAACAATGAAAACCTCGGACAGGAGGAACAGCGCGGCTGGGCGAGCAGGCAGGTGTCTTGCTCGGCTGTGCTTGGGGGGGCACTTTTTCAGTGCCATTGTAACTTCGAACAGTCACTAAGCGAACTGCTGTAAGTTGAGGACTACCTATACTTTATCACTTTTTTTCTTTTTGGGGGGATCATCAAGTTTTTGACACCTTGCTAGGTGACTGGTGGTACTCGGATGTTTCCATATCCTAAAAGTGGTACAATGGGTGAAAAGGTTGAAAAGCCCTGATCTAGTCCAACTTCCTGCTCAGGCAGGAAACCCTATAAAAGAATAGCGATGAATGTTGCTTTATTTTTTTGGCTAAAATAAACCAATTGTACTCTTTTAGTCACCGTAGCAATTTTATCCTAAGCTTTGGATGTGTCTATCACATTAAAACACTTGAGTACTCTGAATTGAGCAAAATATAACTTTTACTGTTTCCTCAAATTACCTATGCTTTTTGTTGGAGAGAAAATTCTGCAGGATGATCAGGAAATAATTTGGGAGCAAGGATTTGTTGTTTGCCATGCTAAAAGTCTGGACCACAGCGAACATATATAATTTATGAACTGTAGATCTTGGATGAACCTTAAGAAAATGCACCTTGAGTTAAAAATATAGTTGCCAATCAAACCAACTGCTTTATGAATTGAAATGAGGGTCTTATCTGCTGATTTATTATATTAAATATATATATGTGAGCGCAGGGCTTTTTTTCTCATAGAACACCCAGAACGGAATTCCGGCACCTTTTTTGGATGGAACCTTGTAGGGTAGGCAAGGCAGGTTGTATGACGTGTGTGAGTTCCGGCACCTTTTTTTTTTTTTTAGAAAAAAGCACTGTGTGAGTGTGTCAGTGTTGACCTCTGGCGACTCTAGATTAGTCCCTGCAGTCGTCTTGGTAATTTTCAGAAATTGTTTGCTTTGCCTTCTTCCTGGGGTTGAGAATGTGACTTGGCCAAGATCAGCTGGCTTTGTGTCTTAGGTGGGATTAGAACTCATGCTCTCCCAGTTTCTAGCTTGGTTTCTTAACGATTACTTCAAACTGTCTCTTTAATTTAAATATTATATTTACTACAGGTTACTTCCTGTTCCAACTGTTCTGCTTGTCCAGTGATAAATAGTAAATTGTGAGATCTGCCTAAATAAAATTTGTTTACTTTATTTAGAGATAGAGACAGGTCTTCAATTTTTTTTCTATGAACTCCCCCCCCCCCTTTCTCCCAGTTCATAATAAGTAATTAGTCTATGTTTATGTCAGAAGTAAACAATACTTGGGGACAAGAGCACATCTAGGTTTCCAAAAGCATGTTGCAGCACTATCAAAAAATAGCTGTTTTCAAAAATCTTTTGTATTCATAAAATAACATCTCTGATATGCAGTAAAACGTTTGTGGGGACCACAGCCAGAGTTACCGACAAGGCTATTTATCCCAGATAGTTTTTATCTGCCCAGTCTGAGTGAACAGAGAACACAAGTTGAAAGTTCCCACCTATGTATAAGACCAGTGAGAAGGGTGCAAAAGCAGGCTGTCGCTGCTTTCCTCCTATGAGATTGAACGTAAGCATAAAATTGCAACCAACTATTCTAGTTTCTGAGGATTTTTCATACTTTTTCAGCTTTGTCCCTTGCCTCCATTTTATTTTATTTATAAGAACGCCTATTTGTCTAGGGATATTCTTGATAAGAAAGTTAATGCTGAAGAGTGGTACTTCTTTGTTTTGCAGAATGCTAATTTATCTTATTTTAAAACATGTTTCTATTTTTTTTAATTCAGGAATGGTAGGAAGCCTGATGGATAGATACAAAGGGAGAGCACATGTACCTGGATGCCTATCCATGTTGTATGTATCTTAAGTGTAAAAATATATATGCTCATTTTCTATTTGACTTTAGGCAGGGGCAATGGCATTGCTCATATTGTTTGTTCATTATCACCATACCTTCAATTTGTAGATGACTAATTTATGAACACATTCCAAACCGTTTTCTGCAAGTTTATTGGAGAATCAGATTGCAGGGGCCATACATGATTATACACTTGAACTGGGTTTGCAAATGTCTGGAAATTAGTGGTGAGCTGCCCAAATATCATATTGCTGAAATAACCATAAAAGACAGATTTTGAGAGCCCAACCTTTGTACCTTTTGGTACTGCTACGTTTTATATCATGTATTTTAGTTGAAATCTACTTTGAAACCACAGAAGAGCAAAACATTTCAGTTCTGCCCATTTTGATATACGGTATTAATGCATGATTTGTCAAATACCTGTATGGTTAGATGTCCCTGAAATATTAACAACTAAAGGTGCAACTCCCATGCCATAAAAAAGTCAATCAATTCTTCTCTAAGTCAAAAATGGTTAATTATAATAATTGGTTCACCCAAGTGCTAAAACATAAACCAGAGATTGATTTAACAACATTTAACATGGGGTTACATGTGATAAGATTGAGGGGGGGGGTCCATTTTTTCCCCAGTTTGGGATAATTTTAAACTATCAGTTATACTATTTTAGAAATTATATTATTTTTTTTGTGAGTTTTAAAATATCACAGGTGGTCACAGGGAAAGTGTATTCTAGGGGGCTGCAAAAAGGGAACAGAGGCTACATGCAGCACAGGAATACTTGTTGCCCTCCACTGCTGTTAACTGTGAGTTACAAACAAAATGCTTCAACTCAGATTTACTATTCAGAAAACTGATGTAATCTCTGGAGGTGATAGTGGCATGTAGGTTGGAAGAAGAGGGGAAAAAAGACTACTTGTATAATGCTGTACTTAGCGCCTAATGTTTACTCAGAATCTTTTCTTATAATTTGAATCAGTTGGTACAGGTCCAATCCTCTTAAGCAACATAAGATAAATGTGCTTCTTCAGCTATATGAGCTTTTTAATATTTTCTTCTTCAGGCAAGACATACCAAATAACTTCTTCAGATTTGCCTTACTGGGTTTGAGTGGATCTCTCACTTTCTGGTGTCCTTACCAGTATCTTTCTGAATATATTTCATTTTGTTGGCAATCTTCTTATAATTCTCAGAACTGAGTGCAGGATTACTTTTATGTTAACTATATGTGTTGCTTTCAAATGAAGAGACAGATAGTAAGGAACCTCAGTATTGAGGGAAAGGCATCACTGTTCATTCTCAGAGGGATTCTCTGGCCTCTGATTTTAAGTTGAGGTATGAGATAAGTCATTACCATGCCAAGTTATCAATCCCTCGTTTCTAGAATCGATGGTAAGAACCTGATAGCAGCAGCTGTGGAAGATTCCTTCCATTATGTGGTCTTTTCAATAGCATGATACTCACCTTAGGCCCTTGAACTGAGAGCTTGACCAGTATTCCCAATTTTTGATCCCTTGCTAGGGAAATGAACAGAAATTTCTTCGTAGGAATTATTTTTTTAACCAATTTTTTTGGAACAAGTAGGTTTTATAGACAAAGAAGGAGACCACAGTTTCTTTATTTAGTATCAAACTGTTTCACAGCTGGAATGATTTTAAGCCCTCTGGGACAAAAAAAGACATTGCCACATTTATTTCTCCTTACATGTTGGGGAACTGGTAGCAGAAATGTTCCTTCCTGGATTAATTAAAAGTTCGTTATCATTCCCATGCCATTCAACTTTAGAATTAAAGCAGAGTGAAAGGTTCCTTTTTTAGAGAACCACCACAAAATTAAAGTCCATTGGCTTATTAGGATATATGTTGCCCCCTAAAGCATCATTTTCCTTTTGCACCTTCATGCTGACTGAATAAGGATTCTGTACTTCAATTTTCCTTTGCATTCACCTTTATCTTTATTTTATATTTAATTAGAAGAAAATCAAAGTATATTAAATATCTTCCACTTTAAACCACAGGATTGTAGCAAGATAGATTGATAAATATGAAACGTATGGTCATTGGTAAATGTTGGTAGGAGTCTAATGTTTGAAGTTCAAACCCAACTTTCCAGGCATTTCCAGGAAGTTTTTCTCCCTTACTATTATCAAACGACAATAAGGAATTCATCGCTTCTGTCTCTGGAAGTACCAAAGTAGCCACTGAACAACAAAAGGCCAAGCCAGCAAGAAAAACCAGGTATGAGGAGACAGATGTACAGGCCAACTTGGCAGTTCCTGTGAGATAAAAAAACATGGCAGAGACTGAAGAAAAAAATGGAAGTGCTGTCAACTTTCCTGGATTCCAAAAATTCCAAACAAAGGAGATCTGCTTTCTCTAATCTGTTTAATATTCCTCAGATTAAGATTCAGATAAAAATGAATAAGTGAAAATAATCGCTTTTGAAGTTTTATTTATTAATCAAATATTCTTACTGCCTAATGGGGATTGAAAGGGTGGAAGGGGAGGGGTAAATATTGTTAATAGTATTAGAAAACATTTTGACATAAGCTTAGAGAAATCTTATGCCTTACTGTCTATATTTCTTATTTAAAACTGCACTCCTCTCAGAAATATCTAGTACCATCTAGATACCTGCTTGTATCAATGTATTTGTAAAATTTCTCATAATAAATCCCCATACCTTTGCATCAGGTACGTTGGAAGGAAGGCAAGGTTTCAACATAGATGTAGGATGCTGAAAGACAGAAAAATCAAGATGGTTGTGACAACTAGAGCACCTCCTCCCATTCTATTTTCTAAGTGATTTTGTTGAAAGTGTATTTCAGATATCAGAATAATTGGGGATAGGTTTATACATGGATGGGAGATGATAAATACATGCAAATCTTTAACAATATTTTTAAAATCTGAATCCTTGGCAATTGTATGTAATTTTACATCTCTTATCTATATCCATTTATATAAAAATGTGAATTAAGGCAGATGCATTTTCATTGTTTTTGTATTTGTTTTAAATACAAGTGTTTTATGGTTTTTTATGGGAACACTTGCTTTCTTCTCTTAATACATTTTGCCACTGCCAGCTAGTGTGAAATCAGGCAATTATCAACTTATCCAGATGGTCACTAGAGTTATAAAATAATGATCATCGTGACAGAATAGAAATATCAGTACAACCTGGAGGAAGAGGGGGCTAGGTATGACACAAAGAAAGATAAATGCAGTGGCATTATTGGGACCTAAGGTGAGAATTTAAAGCTGTATAGAGAACAAAACAGAATAATAATACAAAGCAGAATTTAGCAGTTATAGCTAAACCATTGTGGCCCTATACATGTCAGCTTGAAAAAGCTCCCTTGAAAGTGAATTCAGGGACCCTGATGCAGCCAGCTAAAAAGATCTTACCCATTTTCCTCCAGAGCAATACATACAGCTTTGATGCATATCAGATTCTTTTCTAAAGATCTTAATACACAAGCAGTGTACTGATGAAGTTAAGAGTTCCAGCATGTGAAAAAATGTGCCACAATACTAGAAGAAAATTAGGATCTTCTGTTTGCATTTTGATTTTAATGTAGTTTAGGATTTTATCCTAGTAAACTAATACAATGTGGGCAGCCCTTCCCCCTTCAGCACAATAGCAGCCTATTGCTCTTTTAAGGCTGAATTAGTTTATAAAGAATTTGTTACGGATTACTGCATGCTTGCAGTTCTAAAATTGTAATTCTAAATTTTTCCCTGCCATTCTCCCCACACTTCCTTTTGTTATTCACTTCCCTCCCTCTCTTCACCCTGTCTCCTTATTTCCATCAAACAGGTCAGGACACATTGATCTTGTAGAACTGCACTTTTCAAAATCTCTATGCAAGAACTCCAAGACTTTTGATCTGCAACTTGTCCCCAACATATTCATTTTTCATATGTTGCTTTTAAAGCTTTCTGAGCTCAGCAGTGATTTGTACTTTATAAACCAACATGCTTGTCAGCTGTTAGAAGAAGCAATATACCTGCAAAGCTGCCCATGATTCCAAATAGTTGAGTCTTTCCATCGCTTTTTTCATATCCTGCTGCAAAGCTTGAATGGTGCTCATCACCTGCAGGGTCATGTCCTTCTGGGTCAAGACACTTATCTGACTTTCTCTGATGGTTTCCGGGCTTTGGTTGATCTCAGGTGGGGCCGTCTGCTGGTGTATAAGATGAGATGGAGCCAAAAGGTCCATTGAAGCTGTAGCAAAAAAACAAACAAACAAACAAACACAGATAGATGAGATCCTGATATTTTAAATGAAGTGAGTCCCACAATTTAAATCTGCCTGGATAGCATGTCCTTATGTGTCAGATTTAAATGGGAAGACAAGAGAATACAATTTAAGGGACTTCCATGGTTTCATTTTAATGCAGCATTTCTCTCTCTCTTACTTGAGCCTCTTCCCACTTGCAATATAGTGTGGATAGCCTAAATATAAGAGATTCCAATGCATCAAAATGAATGATATGTTCATGCATTCCACTGAAAAAGGCAGAGCCAAACCTTGTTTGAAAGCTCTGAAAATAAAGGAAACATTGTTCCCAGTCCCTAATGTTTGAAGCTAATCAAACAACGGGGCAATCAAAAAAAACAAGGCAGGGTGAGTGACAGGAACTAGAGGGAAGAACAGTGACCAACTTAATCTACACTATGTTACTAATTAACCTTCAAGGCCAAGACTTGAGCTGATCAGGAGAATCCTCCAGCATAACCAAGGTAAGAAAGGATATCTCTGCATTATCAGTTGAAACATATGCTGTACAGGGCCAGCCCAATCACGTTGAAGGAGACTTATATTTAAGGTTTGCACATTCTGCTCCAGAAAACCATTATCTCCAGTTTCTTGAACAATACCAAATTTCCTCCAGATGGTAATGATTAGTGGTGGGTATCTGACTGCTAAACACTTCTGGTGTTGAATTTACAAATGGCCTAGAACAGTTCCTGGAAGCTGGTATACAACATGCATGTTTTGAGTAGTAATTTCTCTACTACGCTTTTCCCTAACTGGATATTATCTAGGTGCTTTGAATGCTCTGCTGGCTGAAAATTGTGGAAGGTATTGTCCTAACATATCTATTGGAAGATATTATTGCTAAAAGAATCAGAAGAGTCCAAAAGGATGTAGGATAGGAGCATAGGGTAAGATTATTAATTCCTGATGAGTAAAACTTGTAATTTAGTTTTGGAATGGAATTACTTTTGCATATTTCCCACCCTTTTTTTAAACAAAAGATCTTGGATTGGGAAGATATATTTTCACTATATTTTTAAAATAAAATGTTCCTTGGATGTAATAAACCATCAAATCAGGAGGGAAACTTGTGTATATCTTTGTAAGAGGAGTGATACTGAATGGAAAAGGACTTTCACATAATGGTTATTCAACCTGCAAGTTCAGCTCTCATCATGTTTTAATACAGCTCCTGAGATTCAGTTCTAGTTCCAAATGATCTTAGCCTTGGCATAATTTCCCTCTTAACTCTTTTCCACTGTTTAATCTGTAAATGGAAATGGTTAATAGATTTTGCTCATACTCCTTATTGGTAAAATAACTGGGCAGAATTCTGCAATATCTCTCATTTGTATCTTATTATTTCTGAAAACTGACTTTTATGGCTGCCTAACTCAATATCTAACCCTTCCCATTTACTTTTTGTTCTTCTCATCTTTTCTCTCAACGATTATTTCTGCTGTGGAATTACAACAGAATATGTATTGTGGATGTCCTTCTAGCAGGGTTGCATTCTATTGGGGGGGGGGATAAAAACATACGTTCTCTGCCAAACTTAGACATTTTACCTTTGCCTTCATTACTTCAGAATGAAAGCAAATTAATTCTTTTTCAGACCTGTTTGCACTCATGGATGAAATGTAAAATTTAGTTGCCAAATGCATTGAGCCATAACACCTATAGGCATGTCCTAGACCTGTTTCTGTACTTTCTTTCTGAAGCAAAAGATTAGATGTCCCTTCTATTTATCTTCCTTCTCCAGCTAAGGATACTCTAAAAACTTACATCCTGTTTTCTCTGTAGCTTGACTCCTGGGAGGGTTGCTCAAGGGAAAGTTTTGTTTAGCTGATAGTCTTCTGGCCTGTGCAGAAATAAAAAGTAAAAACTAGATTTTTAGAATCTGTTTTTAACACTTTAATTATCACAGTGTTTCCCTTTCCCAATTTAAATTAAAATGAAGTGTAATTGTTAGGAAATTATCTAGTTTTCTGTTGAAAACCTTACAAAATGCCTTAAGGGATTACAAATGTTATTCTGCAGAAAAGGAAGTCACAATATAGTCCAGCGGCTCCCAACCTTTTCTATACCCCGCACCCCTAGAACGCTTCTGATATATTTTCGCACCCCGTACAAAAGTTCGAAATAACAGCAACAAATTATGCATATACACTATAATTTTGAAAACCCAAGTTTTTGCGCCTCCTGGAATATCATCTTGCACTCCCAGGGGGTGCGAGCACACCTGGTGGGGAACCCTTGATATAGTCTTAGAGCTATTGTATCTGTAATAGGTGGCCTGAGAGGCCAACTGTTCAAGTGGAAGGATTGGCCTTCCTTAGCAATACTGTGGGGAAAATCCCCTGTAACCCAGTTTTTTAATTGAAAGAATACTAAAAGCCAAACATGAGATGCCTTTTATTTCCCCATTATTATTTCTAATATGTTTTCAAATTTCACTTCACACAGTTTATACATGTGTGAATAAGTGAAAATTAAACAACCAAGGGTTTTGACTCAGTCCATTTGCTCAGATCTTGCAAGCCTTAATGTCTAAAAAAGAAAAAACTTTGTTACTGTTGCAAATTTTATCTTGCCTAAGTTCATGTATCTAGAAAGGAACTTTGCTTTAGTTTAGTTGAACAGCTCAGATTACAAGTCACTCATTATTTATTTATTTATTATTTATTATTTGGATTTATATCCCGCCCTTCTCCTCGTAGGACTCAGGGCGGCTGACAATCAATTAAAATACATAAATAACAATACAAATTTAAAATTAATTAAAAGAGATATTTAAATATTGTCCGATTTAAAATATAATTAAAACCCCTTTAAAAATTACCCTAGGCCAGTCCTGCAAGCTGGAATAACCAAGTCTTGAGGGCGCGGCGAAAGGAAGGGAGATCAGGGATAACCCTGATCTCTGGGGGCAGTTCATTCCAGAGGGTGGGAGCTCCCACAGAGAAGGCCCTCCCCCTTGGGGTCGCCAGCCGGCACTGTCTGGCCGACGGCACCCTGAGGAGACCCACTC